AAAATATTTTTATTTAATTAAATAATTTTTAAAAAAATAAAATATTTAAAATTTACTAATTAAAACAATAATTGAAATAAAAATATTTTTATATATTTATTTTTTTTAAACATTTAAAAATATTAAATATATAAATCAAATTCATCTCAATTCACTATTAAAATTCTCTTTTTTAGTAACTAATTATCAACAACATAGAATTGTTTGTCAATAATATATATTTTCATCGATAAGACCTATGTTGTTAATACCTATACAATACACTTTCTTCCCAAAAAGTGAGCTCCATTTTCAACAATAAGGGGTAATTTGCTAAAAGTGAATTTTAGCAATAAATATCATGTTGTTGAAATTTTCTAATGAGCCAAAGCATTTGCAATATATACCATGTTGTAGATATTATATTTAAGTAACAAAATCCATGTTGCTAATATTCATTGACTGACAACTAGGGTCCTTATATTTTTTCCAACCACTAATCAGCAACATGGGAAGTATGTTAGTGAAAGTGAGATTTACTGATATAATTTATGTCGATGATAATTGAAACCATATTATCACCAACAAGAAATATGTTATTAAAAAATGACTTTGACCGACAACTCCATCACCCATTATATATACACCTTTCTCATGCCAATATAAACACACCTTTCACACTTTCTAATTTCTTTCTATTTGTCCCTTACTCTTTCAATTCAATTCACCTTTTTCATCCCTCACATAATTATTTTTATATTCTAATTTACAAGTAATTACTTTTATAAATTTCAAAACTCTTTTTCCATAAACGAGGGATATGTTGCTGAAATGGATACTATGAATCAGCAACGTGGAGCTTGTTGCTGATATATTACCAACCAAATCTTCTACAACAATGACATCACGACATGGTTTTTGTTGCTAAAGCACTTTCAGCAACATGAGATGCACTTTTATCGACGTGCTCCCATATTGCTGAAAAATAGATTTTTAGTAGTTATTTCTCCAATTTAGAATGATGAAAATCAGAAAAGTGGAGAGGGTTTTATCACTCCTCGTCTCCCTCCCTCTCCATTAATGAAGAAAAACAAATAAAATAAGGGAGATATCAACTCCTCAATCTCCCCCACTTTCTCTCCAACTCCATCAGTCCAAACATGGGTTTAATAATAATTCCAATGGCTATTTTAATTGTGTATTTTAAA